TAACGTTGAGTCTCCTGGGGCACGGCTGAAGAGACCACCTGGGCTTCAAGGGATGCTGGGAGCAGGGAGCTCTGCTGGTGTCTCACCCAGCCGGGAGGCAGAGCACATTCCCGTCTGACAGACCGGAGCTCTGTGAGGGTGACTTCCCTTGGGATCTCGAGCCGGCCACATTTGGTGCAATGCTGCTGCTGTGTGCCAAGATATAGGGACTGTTGGTCCAGGCTTCACCGGCCCGTGGGAGTCCGTGGCACCAAGGGGGGATTTCTGAAGTGGGACCCTACGCTGGGCCAATGTGCCTTTGCTGGCTTCTACACCATAAGCAGAGGGGGCTGCGTAGGAGAATGGGGAGGGAGCTGCCTTAGGAGAATGGGAAGGGACCCTGCATACGGCCGAGGGGCCCTCTCAGTCCAGCAGGTGGGACATGGGCATCCAGGCTCCCGGCATCTGCCGATCCTCCTCCTTCTGTCCAGAGGAAGGGACAGGCCCTGAGCCGGGTTACCGGCACCGGGGCAGAGCGCTCAGCCCCGAGGAGCAGAGTGGCTATACCTAGAAAAGCCCTCGTGCCTCTCCCTGCCTGGATTTCTCCAGCTGGAGGGATGGAAGAACTGCACAAGCACCTTGAGATAAGAGATTACTAATTCTGGTAGCAGTCTCCGAGGTCTTTGGGGGCAGGAAGGGCAAAGCCTGGCACCAGCAATCCCTGCTCTGCCGGCAGGTCAGCAGCATCCAGGGCAGAGCTGGTCTGACCCCTCTTTGTCCATGGTTGGCGGGAATAACAGGAGTCAGGGAGTGGGAATAAAAAATAAAGGGTATCTGCATGGGGACTAGCACATGGATACGATTCTGTGGGGTGGTGAGGGGTGTGGGGAAGGCTGGCAGACCCTGCTCTCCCCCAGGGCCTTGCCCTGTCCCAGGGGCGCAGCCGGCGCTCCCGGCCAGGGAAGAGTTTGGCTGCAGCCGTGGAAGTGGTTGACGCTGCTGGAGCCCAGCTGGGAGATGGTACCCGGATCCTGGCAGGTACCACAGGGCTGTAGCAAAAACTTACACGAAGCACTGAGCCGCTGTCATCACCCAGTTGGGGGCCACCAGGAACCCCCCGCAGAACTGGTTGTTCTTTCCTTGCAGATAGGCCACGTAGGGCGTGGGGTGGGTCCTGGCTTCACCTCCCCTCTCCATCCGATTCCAGGAATAATCTGCAACGAGCGGGACTGCGGATGAGGGGTCGGAGGAGGCACAGGATGTGCTGTCTGGGACTCTTCCTTCCCAGCCCTCTTCCCGCCTCCAGCCGCTCTACTTACTGGCTTCGACCGGGGGGCACGTCACCAGCAGGAGGGGGAGCAGGAGCTTCGGCAGGTGCTTCATCGGCGCTGGGCTCCGGTGGATCCCTCGGGGTGAGGCTGCAGCTGGGGTCTCCTCCTGCTCCCAGCAAGGTTTTATAGCCTCAGACTAGACTCCAGGAAACCACAGAAGTCAGACTCATCTGATTAATCTCTCCGTAAATTGCATGCCTCAGCGATCTGAGCGGGGAATTCAGTCAGCCTTAGCCTTGGGCATCAACCCACCTTCATCTTGGGCCTGATCTCCGGTATCTGACGTACTCCTAAACCCAGAGCCAAGTTTAACCCATTGCCTTTGGGCTGGGAGCGATGGTGTATGGACCCACCTTCATCACTTTGCCTGCCAGTGGGTCGTCCCTTGCAGCTCGTGTTTGTTGTTGTTGCACTTGCAAACTTTCTTGATGTTTATCACGAGCCTTGCAAGAGCAACGTTACGTTTACTCCACGTTCCAGCACCAAGGATCGTGCAGTGAGAGCTGAGGACCCTCCTGCTCTTTCTCAGCAGGTCTGGTCCTGGCTAAGAGAGCAAAACCAGTCCCCTCTAACAACTCCCGGGTCATGGCTACGTGAGGGGAGTTGTAGGGCGCCTGCTGCATGGGGTCTCTGTTCTGCACCAGCTGCTGACGAGGGGCTTTGCTTTGTGCAGCAGAACACGCCATTTGAAGTGTTTCTTTCATCAAACGGGGGAGTTGGCTGTCTCACGGGCACCAGTGCCCTGCTCCAGGGAAACATGGAAGATGGACACATCTACAGGTTCGCCCCAGCAGCGGTTCCTTCCTCGGCTGTGACGAAATGGGGCTGATCCATCCTTGCTGACTGTAATTTACTTTCCTATCTGCCCCCAGTCCCACAGGGCAAACCCCTCGTTTAAGCTAGAAGCTGCCATTCTCGTGCAAAGATGCAACAGGAGCTTCAAGGAAAACCTTGACGTGACAAAGATTTGGACCGCACAGATAAGCAGTCGCAGCCTTTTCAATTGCAGATTTCCTAGCTGATAGGAGCTGTTAGCAGAAGCCCAAACCATGGACCCTTCTCAATCTCCCAGAGCTGCATGGATGCTGAAGGCAAAGGCAGCATCATTTCCCCTGTCCCAGGCAGGAACAGGGAGAACAGACACCCAGAGCCGGACTGCAGGCCACCTCCTCCCTCTGACAGGGGTGGCTACTGGGAGCCCAGGAAAGACTGAGAACAGGGTCAGCATCCCGTTCCTGTGAACTGCACATTTCTGTGTTTAAAATTCCCCTCTGGGTTTCCCCGCAGCAAAGCAGTCTGGGTTCTGAACCCCGTCATCCTGCGGCAAGGAGTTCCGCAGCGCAGTCACCCACTGATGCGCTGTGTCTGCTCTTGTCTCCCCCAGAAAAGTGTCCAGTGCCCTACCTATACCCAGGGACACCGTCAGAAACTACCGGGAGCAAAGGAGACGGGCTTGGCTGGCTGCTTGGCACCCAGGGCAGGCCGTGGAAGGAGGGGGTGGTGCAGGGTATTTGGGCTCTGGTGCAGGGGCTGCCAGAGAGGTGCCAGAGCATCCTTCGTGGGGAGAAGCAGCTCGTCTCAGCATCACCCGGCCAAGGGGGTGGGTTGTGAGCTGTTTTGGTTTAGGACTACTGCTGGTGCTGTGCTGCCAGGGCTGGGCTTCCCCTCCTGAGAGGGACGGGAAGAGGCCAACCAGATCCAAGGTAGACAGCTCCCAGCTAGAACTCTCCCTTGCCTTCTCCAGGGAAGGAGTTGGGCTCTCCCATGACAGTTGGCATAGGGGGAAAGGAGGAATGGGCATGGGGCTTTTGGGAGCCCAGGTCCTTTTTCAACCCTTTCAGCACCATCTTTTCAGAGACACTGTTCATGGGGGCACCTGGGAGGTCGTGTTCCTGTTCAGGAGATGGAGGACTGGGGCTGCTGGAGGCACAGGCTGACAGCACTGTTGTGCCACAGCTGGGACTTCGTGTCTCCTCTCTGGGATCCTAAAGCCTCAGTCCCTCAGGGCTCACCCAGAGGGGAGCAGAAACAGCACAGTCTACGAAAGGTCCAGCTCCCTGCACCTGGTGGAACCTCTTACGGCTCAGAGAGTTGAAAGGATTCACCTGGCATCTAATGTGGTCCAGCCCGCTCTCTTGGCTGCCCGATGTCCTACAGTGCCACATCACCCAGGCACAAGGTCCCTGAGGAAGGCACAGCTATTACTTGGCATCTTTTGCCACCCTTCCCCCACCCAGTACCTGCTGACACAGCACATCCTGGCTGCTCCATGGAGTGTGTGCACATCCTTCTTCCCAGCCAGTTTCTACCTGGGCAGTTTTTCTTCCTGCAACACTCATCACTGTGACCCCAGGAAGGACAACTGTCACTCGTCCTCCAAGTCCGTCAGCAATCCAGTGGATGCAGAGCTCCAGCCGTCTCTGTGCCAACAGGCTGAGCTCCCACTTCGACCGCCTGGACCCCCCCTCCCTTCCCCCTGGGACAAGGTGCGAGAAAGAAGACACGCTGGGAAATGCAGCTCTGAGTTTACTGGAGGTGTTTTAGTGCAGCAAGGCTCAAGCAGGGCCGGGGTTATCTCTGAAAAACGGGGTCTGTTTTAGCACAGCCCCTTTCTGGTGCCAGCTGGGACCCTCTCTCTTCGGCCAGGGTGATTTCACATGGCCCTGAACTGGGATGGGCATGGAGTCTCAGGACAGAGAGGGGACCCTGGTCGCCCGGTTCCAAGGGGAGCGGTGGGAGTCAAGCCTTCGGCAGGGCAGGAGGGAAGCTGGGGCAGGCTTTGGGGCCACACCAGTGCTGGAGCGAGCGCTGCTGCTGCTAGTTCTTCATGGTTTTTTTGATCCAGGGTAGGTAGTTGGCGATGCGGGTGTAGACTCCGGGTGGGTTGTGGTGCCCAAACGAAACGATGCCTTGTGCCACTTTATTGCATACCAGTGGCCCACCAGAATCTCCCTGAGGACAAATGAAGGGCTGGTTTTAGAGGCCTTTTCCCTATGGGAACAGGTTTCACCCCAGTCCCTCCCTGCCCAGGCCAGGACTGGGTCTGCTCAGGGTCTACAGCCCCGCTCCTGCGCCATATGCCCACCGGAGCTGTGCATGGAGCATGGTGTCAGGGCATCAGAGCTTGACAAATCCAATGCTTGTCACCCCTCCTGGGAAGCAGCCACATCTGTGCCAGCAGCCACCACGGAGTCTGCCTGCCCCACAGCCCAGCCCCCCCCCACGCCAGCAGCCCCTACCTGGCTGGAGTCCCTGAGCTCATGGAAGCTGCCGGCACAGACCATGCCGGTGTCCAGGTGCGGGTAGAAGCGGATGCATTTCCTGCGGTTGTAGATGGAGACTTCGGTTTCAAAGAGCTTGTTGGTCACTTGGTCATTGTCAATGAG